GGGGAGAGAGGAGGAGAGAGGAAGCAGGGGGAGGGAGGGAGGGAGCTAGGAGCCAGAATGGGGGGGTGCCTTGGCAGTGTTAACTCCTTCACTGCTGGCAGGAACCCGGATAATGGAAAAGGAGATAGAAGCACAAGCCGAGAAGCCCTACAGCAAACATGGAGACCTAGCCTGCCTCGGTGATGACAGCATAGGCAAGGAGGATAGATTTCATTTCTTAGAAGGAAAAAGCCCACAGCTGGGATGGGAACATCCCTGGTTATTTGAATGCTAGAGGGAGGTCACAGCATGGGGTAGGGGCTGAGGGAGGGGCAGGCAGCAAGGAATCCTGCCCTAGGATTCAGAGGAAGTCTGAAAAGTAATTAATTATGGCCTGGTCTCTCTGGTGCTGAAATTGGGGCAATCCAAGAAAGGGGAGAAGGAGAAAAGGGTTCGGGACTGGCTAACCACAGAAAGAGCACTCTCAGTGTCCTCAACCCCTCAGTCAATACTCAGGGTTGTGTTGCCAAGCCCCTAATTCTCAGTTTAATATTAGCAAGGAATTTGTGAGTCCCTCCAGTCCTGCCACCTCAGTTAGGAAGCCAGCCAGGCACCCACCTCTACCACCTTACCTGACCCTCTGAGATGGAAGCCTCATAATAGTCCAGGATATCTGCCACAGGAACATAACTAAGTTACCCTCCCACATCCCAGGCCTCTCTGGCCACCACCTCTATCCATGGCTTCAGTTTGTCAAGAGAAGCTCCTCTAGCTACAGAAGCCATAGCTTGGACCAGATGCTCTGCAGGCGTCTACACAGTCTAGAACCTGTAACATCTGCCCTCATAGGCCCAGGCTAGCCCCTTCCACCATGGATTTACCCCCCTTAGACGCCTGGATTTACTCACCCAGCAAGGCCTGGAAGAGGTCACTGTGCAGCACTGTAAGGAGGGGAGGCGCCCACCGCAATAGTGGGGGGGCCAAGAGCCAGAGGGCTGACCTGGGAACTAGTAAGAAGCAAGGGACAAAGGAGTGAGGCCAAGTCACTTACACATTTAGCTATCTAAGGTTCTCCAGCCTTTGTCCTTTCATTCTAGACCCCATGGAAAGATTTGGGAACAGAAAGAGCACCCAGGCCCCCACCACAGATCCAGATCTCCCCTCTAAAGACCCGGTTGTTTTTCACCTCTTGGTCTCTGGGACATCTCTCTTCTCTTGCTAATCTCCCTAATCCGCCAAGATTGGAGTTGAGCTGCCTTCTCCCTACGCAGTTGTAGCTAGTAAAGTAGGCAAGCAGATCATGGTTCCATTCTTCCACAGGTCCCCTTGAAACACATAGTGTGCCTCCCCAAAAGCCAGGTATAATTTAGCTACTTTCCCGAAAAGTGGGAAAGAGGGTTTTCTCTAAGGCAGTCCCAGCAATTCAGAAGAATTAAGTTCAGCACAGCTCTTTCTCTTCCCAGGCCTGATCGCAATGAGAAGTATGGAAAGAGGAGGGGGTGTACAGGGGTCAGTGGCATGGCTTCACTGGGTATAGAAACTTGCTGCCAAACCTGACATCAGGAACCCACATAAAGGTGGAAGGAGAGAACTGACTATTGAAAGTTGTCTTCTGATGTGTGCTTGTGAGTGCACACACAAACAAACTTTTTGTTGTTTTTTGAGAAAGGGTTTCTCTGTAGCTTTATAACCTGTCCTGGATCTCGCTCAGTAGACCAGGCTGCCCTCAAACTCACAAGAGATCAGCCTGCCTTTGCCTCCCCAGTGCTAGGATTAAAGGCGTGCACACCTCCTGGCACATTTCTTTATATTTTAGGTTTATTGTATTATTTTTTAATGTTATGTATATGTTCATGTGTGTGTGCATATGACATGCTTGCAGAGGTCAGAAGAGAGCAACTGGAGTTACAAATACTTATGTGCCACTATGTATGTGGGCACTGAAAGCTGAACTCAGGTCCTCTGCAAGAGCAACAAATACTCTTACTTGCTGAGCCATCTCAAACCTGATGGTGGTGGCACACACCTTTAATCCCAGCACTGGGGAGGGAGAGGCAGGTGGATCTCTGTGACTAGGCCAGCCTGGTCTACAGAGGGAGTTCCAGGACAGCCAGGGCTCCACAGAGAAACCCTGTCTTGAAAGGAAGAAAGAGAAATGCACATGGTTCTTCCAGAGGGACCTGAACACCCACGTTCCCAGCACCCGACAGGAGATCACAAATGCCTGTAACTCCAGCTCCAGAGGACCCATAGTCTCTGGCTTCTACAGACACTGCACTCATATACATGTACCTATATACAAACACACAGACACGTAGTTTTTTAAAAAAAGTATAAATTTCGTGTTATTTTGGAGTTTTTACTTTTAAAAAAAAAAACAAAAACAGGGTCTCTGAGACCTCATTCACGGTGATCTCCCTGATTCAGTGTCTCCCAGAGTCCATAAAAGACACCTACTATGTGTTTTGTCCTTTTAGGTGTTTTGAACTTGTGAAACCTCCTAGCTCAGAATTTGCTTAGAGCACACACCAGATTGAATCTGCCACCCCATGTCCCTCCTTATTTGTAGGAATCATTTTCCCAAAGAATCCATGCCTCTGCATCTGACATTTACCTTACGGTCCTTTTTCCCATCTCTCCCCTCTAATTCCATCTAGGAAGTCCTCTCTCCATCCCTCTGGCTGTAGTCACTTAAATTCTTCCCCATTTCGCTCATCTTATCTCATCCCTTTTTATCGAACTAGACTTTCATTCAGACCCGCGGCACTAAAGAGTGGGAAAGAAAACGGATCGCTTGAAGATCGATC